TTTCAGCAGGAAAAACTTGTATATGACAAATAAATATGACTTATCTTGACTGAAATAACACCTGCACTTTTAAAAGAATCTCATGCTTTTGGATATGGTTGCTATGAAAAATGGTACTTCTACTTAATCCTTCCTCAAATAATCTTTGACCTCCATAATCTCTGGACTATGACACCTGTTTTCATGTATGATGAGAGATCAAAAGGACACCTCTTGCTGTTAAGCCTATATACCCCACTGTACTGCAATAAAAATGAAATATCAATTGATGCATCACACAAAAGGCTTAGCGTCATATAAATCAACTCAAAAGCTTTTGGTGTCCCTCTTTGATGTATTTGCTGTGAGACTTTTTTTAACAGTGGCCATGCAATCCCTGGGAGCCCAAGAGGAGTGCAAAGCAGCAGAAAAATCTGAATAGGGAAAAAAAATAGTGTTAGAAACATTTGAGGGCTACAGCCATATTCTTATGCATCAACCCTTCCAGTGACATGGAGGGAATGAAAGGAGGAATGGGGGGCAGGGTGCTTGTTTCTGGGCACACCTGTATGCAGCAAAGGAACAGCTGAAGAATTACACTGGTCAGCTCCAAATACTGTCCAGAGGAGTGGGACAGGACTAGGAGGGCTGAGCTATTTTCTGGGAGAAGCTAGAGAGAGAAACTGCAATATATAATAACTGTCCTCAGAAGAAATATCCACAGGGAGAATAAACCAGGATTTTAGCAGACAACATGTGGCTTAATTAATTTGCCAATTAGAGGAAAATATATCCAGGTACATTAGCATGTGGCCATGTATATTTACAAATTTAACTTCTGAAACTGTGATACCTCATTTTAAGGTTGCTGGGGTTTGCAGTGCCATGGTAAATGGTGAATACCATTAATGTTCTCCCCCATCGTGACAGGAAACCTGTATTTGAGCCCAGAATCAGATTATAGTTTAATTCCTTCCAAGGTCTTCTTGCTGCCTGGGTCTGGGTAGCTCCCTACTTAGTGCCCAGTTTATCCCCTCTGAATTTTCTGAGGCCTTTAGAAAGGCCTGCTTGCACCAAACAAGTACCAGCACCTGGCAAGAACTCTGGCTGTTTGCCTACAGCACATGAAAACTTCGTGCTCCCAAATCACTTCTGGCAAAGATAAACCCAACACTCACAGTAGGAACTTGGGAGGCTGAGGAATATTGCTAATGCACAAAGAAAGGTCCTGGCACAGGGCATGGGAGATATTGTTAGCTGATGACATTACACAAACTCTTCCACTGCACTGAGGTAATTTCCTAAATATTTTTTTGTTCATCAATTAAAAAATAGACACCAGAAACTTTACTTTCCCAAGGGCTAAATGTGACTCTCAGATTCCTTGGTCTGAACAAGCCTTATTGGGAGGTATGGCCATGCTGCAGTCCAGCCAACAAAGTCAAGTGGCATCAAAAGCTGTTTGCCACCACAGCATGGCTTTCTCCCTGAGATAACAGCTGGCTCCTGCAAGGCTTCCCAGCCCATAGGCATTGACTTGAGCTTAGTGCTACCCTGCTGGGGATCAACAGCTTCCAGGTTCACACTGAGTCTCTTGGCAAAGCAGGACTCCCTGCTGTGTGTTTGTTCCTCACGCTCTGCAGGAGCCTCAGTGCCTGCACCTTGGCCCAGCAGGGAGAGGAGCAGGAGGACAGCAGCAGCTTCTTGCAGGGCACAACACTTACATGATATCCTGAGCCCTCTCAATCAAACCATCTCCATCCATGCTCCAGGGCTGGAGCATGAAAAGTCTCTCCATGGACAGACAAATGTTTGGCATCAGAAGCCTCTGTAACCCCAGAAAGGAGTGGGGAAAGAAAGGAGGAGAAAACACCTCCACGTTGGTGACTTTGGTTAGGTTCTTTTACCATTTTTATTTACTTGCATTGTTATGGTATAATTTCCATTTACAGTTTTAAAAAATTAAAACTTTTATCTTTAAAGTAAACATAGGATAAATAAAGCGTGAACATAGAAGACAATAAACAGGAACGGAAAAAATCAGATGTGAAACATCAACACAGAGCAGTAGGTTGTACCTGATTTGCTTTTGTCAGCCAACACATTTTTTCCTCACATCCACAGCTAGTCTCATAAGCAGCCAGGCCAGGTGCAGATGCCATATTCTTTTTCTTCTCTCCCCAAAGAAAATTTTTAAAAATTATTTCTTTCTTCCTGTTTCTGTGACAAATATCACTCTTCTCCAACCCAGACGACTCTCAGAAGGCCTTGTGAAATGAAGTGTGAATCTATCCTGAGGACTGTTTCCATTAGCATATAATGGAAAAAAGTATAAAGCATCTGTTAGTCTGGGACTATTCTGAAAGATTTGCTTAAAATTTGATCATCCCATCCTTTCAAAGGAAGGAAAACCAGGACACCTGAGACTTCACTTCAGTGATCTCTGAATAGAAGAGAATAAAAGCTGTTGCTGGCATTTTCATGTGCCCACTATGTCCAAAGGACACTTGGCTCAGGGGATGCTCTTAAAAGTAATGTCCACATTCATTTTCCTGAGCAGGAGGAAGAAAAGAAGGAAAATATGAGGAATTTTCACATATGCTTTAAAAATGCTAACAAATTAAACCAAATCAAAATGGATGAGAGCATACCATGTAAAAGATAGGCCCTTTCCAGAATGAATGTACTGAACAAAGAGGAGAGATATATTCTGTGGAAAAGTATTTCACAAATGCAACTTAATGACTTCACTCTAAGCTATCAATGTAATTTGCCTTTCTCCAAAAAGCTTAAGGTATTACTCCATCTGGCACAACACAATTGTGAGAAACAACATGGGCTACCCAGGATGTGTCCTCTCCAAGGCCTTCATTGTCAACAGTGGGCATAATGCTGCTGCCTCAGAGCCTGGCATAGAAATATCCCACAGCTAATTTCCCAGCCAGCTGCATGACACAGCCTCAAGTTGCACCAGGGCAGGTTTTAATTTGGTATTGCGGAAAAAATTATTCACTGAAAAGACTGTCAAGCCCTGGAACAGGCTGCCCAGGGAAGTGGTGGTGTCACTTATCCCTGGAGGTATTGAAGAGACACGTGGATGTGGCACTTGGTGGTTTGGTTTAGTTTAGTTTAACACTAGGCAGTGCTGGGTTATCAGCTGAACTTGATGATGTTAGGTATCTGTTCCATCCTAAACTATTTAACATCCATCATTGCCTTTGGAAACACAGAAAGAAATGCCACTGTAAGTTGGAGTCTTATTTAAGAATTTTCACATATTTAAGAATGTGAAGAAATGAAGAGTTTCTTACTTCATGAGGTCTTTTTGATTAGCTTTATAACCAGGTATACACTTAAGAAAAAATAACCCTCATTATACCACACTGACAGAGCCACATACACACCAAGCTTCACAGAAGTTGTACAGTGCACATTCTGCTCGGAAGGACCAGTGCCCTTCTGTGGTGAGTCAGGCTATGCCATGTATTTGGGCAGGGATTCACTCACCATGAGCCATATTTATATCTCAAAGTTCAACACACTGAATGGAGCCACTGTGCACGCTCATCAGAATACACTGTGCAATGCAGACAAGCTATTATTTACTGCAAATAAACAGTAAATAATTATAATATCCAATAAATGTCAGATTAATTCAGATTAGCAGTAGACTTTTGTGATTTCAAACATACTGTGACTCACTAAGGAGCAGTGGTCATGAGTTCCTTTTCCTAAAATGTATTTGTGGGCAAGTTATTAAGGAAATCATTTTTAAAAATCAGAAAAGAAATGGGCAATGGAATTATATTTGAGACATTAAATGTAGGCACATTTTCTACTTAAGTCTATCCATTGCCTGTTGGTTTTCTAGTGTGATGAGAACAACAAAGGAACAACTCAAACCCCTTATGTCCACTAGTAGCTCCAAGTAAAGATGTCTAAAAGGACTGCCAAGATATTTGGGTGATGCTCAGCTGTCTCAGGATTAGGCCTTTAGCAACATCAGAGTACAGAGAGAGGGACTTAAACCCTCCACAGAATACTGAGTATTTCTGGCCTGATCCACTTTCATGAGATCCTCAGATCTTGCAGCACTGTTGTGATCTGGAAAAATCCTTTCCAGAGCTGACTTTAAGAGACGTGGGTTCTGTGCTCACAGTATAACAGAAAGGAAGCAAAACATAAGGGATGACTACAGAAATGAACATTAATGGTTACTATTAAGATAATTTTGCTTCAGTTAGAATGAACAAGTCAACAATTATACAGGAAAAATTAGCTTTTATTAAAAATGTTTAGTAATAAGCAATGATTTTTCAAAAATTTTTTAACTTACTAAACCTACACATACAAAGTTGGAAGCAAACAAGAAATTGCTTGGTTAAAATCTTATTGAAGGTTAACTTGTCAGTAGTTCTTTCAGATTTCCTGCAAGGCTTGCTTTTAAAATATCTTAATAATTGTACTATTAGCTTTCCATTACAGAGATGCTCATCCTCCAGTAGAGATGTGTAGTCAACAACATGGATGATTTGATTCACTTATATAAACAGAAGAAAAAAAAAAAAAAGTTGCATCCATCTCTGAGTACAAAACCTATTTCTCTATGTTAATGCTTGCACAGGATTCAGAGCTCCATATGCTGGCTGCTGAAGCCCAAGGCAGCTCTTACACTGACTGCAGTTTGCACCATACCAGAATGGCAACACACTAATTTCATATTAATTCATGAAAGTATTCTTTGGTCACAAACATCCTGTACCTACCCGGTTTACAGTACATCAGATGCTATTTTTCACCCTTTTAGGTAGCTTGTTTTATTTGTTTTATTCATGGCATTCAGATTTTTCTCATGCATGTATATTCCATTTCTGCGTGCATGCATTTGCACGAAGTCTGAGTGGTTTCTATGCAGATACATCAGGATAGAAAAAAAGGATGTCATTTACCTTCTGATAGCTTTCAGATGTCAGACTGCAACAGCTCTAGTCTAAAATAGCCTTTTACTGGAGTCTCTCAGGATACACAGTCCATCTTTAGGGTACCACATTACTGAAGTTTTCAGAATACACAAAATCAAAATTTGTGATCATTTTATATTATTGTTTATTACACTGTAAAGCCACATTACTCAAAGTATTATTTTTGATGTGAAAAGTTTAAGATTGAATAAGGGAAAATTTAGCTGCTGAGGATGCAGTAAGAGTGTCTAGACAATGACACTTTGTTTAAAAGGCACACCAAGAAAAGGCAAGCTAGGTTCCTCTCCTGATGGTTTAAACCTGTTTTATATTTTCTCTTATATATATATATAGATACGAATATATATGTGTTTATATCTACACAAATCAATGTATGCACACATACCTTTGAGTTTTTGAGAACGGAAAGTTCAAGAAGTAGAAATGACTTTAAATAAGTAAGAACCATAGTAATAGGCGGAAGTTGGTACTGTTATTTTTTTCCTGCATACCAATTATAATCTAATGACACAGTGATATGTTTATATCATTTTTTACTTTACATCATTTCATTGTATAAATGTGAGGCATAGGACTACTAGGTGCATTTTATCTTGCCTAAAGTAATTTTTATGGATCTTCTGTGTCCTTGCATTTTCACAAGGAATGGTCATTGCTCTAAGAAGTATGAAGAGAGTTGAGAATAAGGATGTTCTAACAATCACAATTAAGATTTATTTGCCTCTAGGGTTTACATGTCAGAGCGTGGTGTGCATGCAAACACAGAGAGAATGACAAGGACAGCAATGGCTGTGTATGGCTCAAACCCAAGTACTGGTACCAGCATGGCTGTACCATGCTGATCCTGTAAGAAATCTTTGTTTCCACTGGCATAAGCTTTGCGACATAACGCATCATTTCCAAAATCAGCACTGCTCCATCTAAATGGTCCACGTATATTGACAATTAATGTTAAGAGGTATGAGATGATTACTAACTTCCAGAAAACGTTTACAGAAGATGCCCATACAGTAGTCACCATTGAAAGTTTAACAGCTAAAGGCTGAATGTAAAGATCTTTTCAGCTGTATTGTTTAGAGAAGTATGACTATCAGAGTGAAGTTAGTTATATACAAGGCAAAAATAGTAAAGATTTCAATAGAGAACACAGTAGATTGTTCAGAGAGTGGATCACATTTTCTGCTAAGCCTGAAATATTTCTCACAATGTTGTAAATTCTACCAATAGATACTCCACAACATAAACCAGACAAGAACTTGTAAAAAGCTATTAAGAGCTTGGTCCTGCATTTCTGAGTCCCCGAAATCTACCAACAGAAGAGTATAGGAATTTTGAATGTTTAGCAATTGCAGGACAAACCCTTCAGAACACTATTAAATGTTGCTTCTTTTCCATACTTATTAAATATAAGTATTCAATTTATTTTCTTTGGTTTTTAAATTACTATCCCTTTGTAGCTATAATGTGAAAACAAACAAACCCCAAAGTAGTAATAATTCCCCTCTCCCCTCAAAACAGCGATTTAAAAAACCCCAAATGAAACAAAAAATATATCCAGAAAGTGTAGCTGTTACTTCATTATAAAACTATGGTGCAAAACAGAGGTTTATACTGGTCAGAATTGCAATAGCAATTGGAAGTTTACACTTAAGGAGTGACTGTAAGTATTGCTTCTCTTGAATAACAAAAATTAAAACTGATTAGGCACTTGTTTTCTTGTTTAATGACAGCTGACTCAGTGTGCGTACAAATGACAGAAATACCCTCTCAAAGAATGCTCTGTAGTGTAACAACTGTACTACTCAACTACAACAGTCCCTGATTCAGGAGAGCAGAAAAACATGTGCCTATTACTCGCTTTATTCCTAAATTTTACTGCTACGAATGGGCTGGATACATATTCAAGTGCTGTCCCGAATCAGGGTATTTGTTGAAATTGGAGTTTTAAAAGATAATACAGTGGTAAGCAGCTTTTCATTATACTACAATAGCAATTTTATCTAATTTGACTCTGCTCTCCACAATATTATCCTAATACTTCCCAACAGAAAACGGGCATAAAATAAATATGATAACCAAAGATTACATAATAAATATGCTACTAAATGGGAGAAAAATACATTGCAATATAAGGCTCGGTAGTGTTGCACAATCAAGAAATCATTCCAGGTGCTCCAAAACCCAATTCCCAATGTACAACACCAAGTTACCACTACACACCTGAAAAAGACTGGGAAGTAACAGATTAAACTTCTATTACATTAAACATTTGAAAATGCAAACAAGTGGTAAAGTGTTTTGCTGCCTTTGCAGAACACCATATGAATGGTCTTGACTGCTGCAATTGTCACTGCTTGTGAAGGAAAGTTTAACAGACTGGATTTCTGAAAACTCTTATAATCTAATTCCTTCTGATTTACAAAGTTATCAGTGTCCACACTGACTCCTAGTATTATGTTTGAAGGCAAAACAAACTCAGAAATTTTGCTGTCTCCGTTTCTTTGCATCCATGGCATCTAGGATAGGTTGCCTCTTTGCAGTGTACCTCTGACGAAGCTCCTCAATTTCTCGTTCCATCATAGGGTCCAAAGCCTTTAATCTCATCTGTAATTCTTCTAAACTCAGATTCTTCAACTGCAAAACAACCAAACAAAAAACAATCCCACAAAAAATATTAGAAACTGTTTTCAACAAAAATGAAATTCACTGCTTTTCATAAGCCTTTAATTTACAGCTGTAGGGTTTTTACACATTTAGAGTGTATGCATACATATATATATATATAACTGTTGATATAGCCAAAAGCCTTAGTGTGCTCCACATTAAATAACAGCATATGAAAGCAAGCACACATAGTACATTTAGTAACAAAAAAACCAAAAAAACAACTTTGAAAATCTTGCAAATAAATTGCAAATAAATAAAGGACTGAAGTTTAACTCATTAGGCTGAAAAGAGCATGCCACAGAATACAAATATATATATACACACTCATGCTTATAAATTATATTGCATAATAACGTATTTCTTATTGAATTTCTTAGAGAAGCCTGAGAAATAGACTGCTGCTGTAAATGATGCCTTGGGTTTTAGTAATACCCTTGACAGATATTTAGAGGTTCTTTCTGATAAGAATGACAAGGCACCTGTCCTCCTCAACAGACTGCTATCAGGACTACCCAAAACAAATTGCTAACAATGTTTTAAGTAATACATGACATAATTTCCTGAATTCATGGGGAGTTACCTTTGACCAAGTTCTTTCCAAAAATATTTTCTCAGAATGTTTAACAGTTCATTACATTTCGCTCATTAAAAGTGACTGATCATATAACACGTAAATGATTTCACTGCCTTGCTGGCTGCTGCCAGCAAAGGTTGGAGTCTTGTCAGATCCTGGGGCATGTCAGGCATTACTGCTCCACCTGCTACTGCAGAGAATGATCTGCATTTGAAATGTGCTCTGCGTCTGGCCTATGTGATTTTCTCCTGATGTAGTTTAGTGCCTTTCTGCATTTCTCTCGTCAGAATTGCCAATGTGCCATTATTGTTCACCAGTGTGAAAAACAGTAAATTTCAAACAGCATATATAATTTCCTCTTAGGAAACGGATAATCTTTATTTTGTTTGCAAATACTCTGACACTTCAAACAAGCACACTACCTAACTCATGGGTAAAAAATAATGAGTCAATACTTCATTCATGAATCTAGGGCAGGCTTCCATCAACACAATCTGATCTGTTTTCCCTGAGGAATTAACTGCTACTTTTGATCTTTATTTTTGCCAGCAATTGAGGCATATAAATTAGCAACACATACTGCTACATACAGTCCAAACCTCAGCATTATGACTGCACAAGTAAACAAGTAATTTAAAGTCATAATAGAGAGGGCCTATCAGAAATGCACAGTAGAGCATATGGAAAAGATGCACATTTTCATGCAACATCATTTTAACCATAAGATTCCTAATGAAGAAGAGAATTAAACCTCAGATGTCAAAATATCTTTGAGGACCAAAGATCTCAAGACCTGTATGAGACTTCAGATGTGCTCAGCAACATCGGTCTTACAGAATCACAGAATATGTAAGTTGGAAGTGAGCCACAAGGATCATCAGTGTCCAGCTCCTGGCCTTGCACAGTATAGCCCCAAGAGTCACATCATATGCCTGGGAACATTGCTCAAATGGTTCTTGAACTCTTTCAGGCTTGGTGCTGTGATCACTTTCCTGGGGAGCCTGTTCCAGTGCCCAACCACTCTCTGGGTGAAAAACATCCAACATCCAACTTAAACCTCCCCTGACACAACTTCAGGCCATTCCCTCAGGTCCTGTCACTGGGCACAACAAAGAAGAGATCAGTGCTTGCTCCTCCTCTTCCCCTCACAAGGAAGTTGTAGATGGCAACGATATCTCCCCTCAGTGTCCCCCAGGCTGAAAAAACCAAGTGACTTCAAATGTTCTTCATATGGCTTCCCCTCCAGATCCTTCACCATCTTAGTTGCCCTCCTTATGACACTTTGCCCTCCTTTCCTCTCTCCTAAAGACTCTTCTTCTCCTTAGGAAGGAAATAGCTGCCTCCCAAGGCATCAATGATCATCCATTTTACTGTACTCCTCTTATTTGACATACAGAAAAAAGGATAGGGGACAGAAATTCCTCAGTCACCAAGACTTTTGCAGAAAAAGATCTTTTTATTTTCAGAAAAAGATTAAAAGCCTGCACTATTCTATTTAATTTTTAGCCCATTATTATATGTAACTGGCACATGACACACTTTGCAGTGAAGATATTCTCTTAGAGGAGTTAAGTGTCAGAGATTTTAAGTATAATGGGAAGAGATGACAGTGCTGACGCCACTGTTTAACTGATCCCAACACAGCACAGACGAGAGGAGCAATAAACCCACGTGTGACAGGAATAATGTGTTTAGCACGTGTGACAGGAATACTGCATTTAGGGCTCCACACACCAGCAAATGCCTAAGGTAGACACTGAATAATCTTGTGTGTGTGTGGTTTGTGAGAACTGCCCATCATGAAGTCCCTAACCACTCTTAGCCAGTCTGGACAGCCACTTATTCTCAATCAATCACCACTATAGACATCAGGCTTAAACTGCACATAATAGACTCCAACTGATGTAATCACATAATTATTCTGCCTTGAAAAACATTTTCTCATAAATTAGCAGAGAAGAACGTGGTGGGTGAGTTTTTATTTAAATTTCAATCAAGAAACAGAGCCAGCAAAGAGAATTAACTACTCTTTAAAAATTACAGAGAGCTGGGATGAATATTAAAATATAAAGAAAATGAATTTTTTAAGCCAGAGATCAAGAATCTTCCAGCATTATCTCAGGCATGTCACCCAGGAGATCCAGATAGCCACAGTACTCATCTAGATGAATGGCTGATGCTCAGGACATTTAAAGGAAGGAAGTGGCAGAAAACAGAACAGTTAGGAAGGTTTCACCTATCTGACATCAGATGAGAAAACTACTTAATCAGCCACAGCTGAATCTGGGAAATGTGTGTGTGTGCCTGTGCATGTATATGCCTTCTTGGCAAATTTAAAATCTACTTCTTTGACTGCTGGCTGTGCTATAGGTATTACCTCACAAACCCTAAAAGCCTTCAATAATCCAAACACTGAATGCAACAGAAAATGTATCAAATAAGACGTGTAGAAATAACTCAAACAAGATATTTCATTACTCCTATGTAATTTATTGCCCTGCATGAATAAATATTTTGGTTCAAATTATTAAAGCAATAGAGTTCAGCATTCATTTACTTCCACTTGCAAACAGTTTGCAATTTAAACTGCCATAAATAATTCACCAAGTAGCTTGTACAGTAACTACTGGGAGCTACTGGGATTAATGGGAAGGGAGAGGGGAGCATTCAGTAGCATAAGCTACAGGAATTCAGAAGGGCTTTCTTTATTTCAGTAGCTTTAAAAAAGCTGTTAACTGTAACAATTAAATTATTACAATTACAATTGTAATCAGGATAGCATTTGTGTGACAGTAATAGATAATTCCATTTCCGCCACTCCACATAATGGACTGAATCATGTCCTTTCAGAGATCAAACACCCACAGCCACACAAGAGACTGTAATTAGTGTCAGGATGGGCCACTTCCAAGACAGAGGTCTTAATGGAGTTTCTGGTTTGCCTTCACTGGGACCCTTTATTTCACCAGGTAATCACATGGATTTGGGAAAGCAATAGTCCAAACTCCAACTTATAATGCCACACACAGACACAGCCTTTTAGAGTGAGTATGCATACCCAGGTTTCCAGAAGAAAGATTAGGTGTACAAAGACAAAACTTTTCTTCTTAAAGATGTATTTGTAGACCTAATCATTAAAGAGAGCTACAGTGCATAAGGGAAGCAAATCAAACAAGGAAGTCAAACCACTGCCAGAGTCAGATGACATTAAATAATTTCTCCTTGAAGCTGATGTATTCTCAAGACAGTTGCACGCAAAGAAGCCTCATTGAAAATGCTCTGCTTTGCTAGAGCAAGGGAAATCAAGCCTATGAAGAGACCAGACAACAGTCATCCTTATGGAACAAGCTCCCAGTGCTGCAAGCTGAGTGCCAGCAGCTCCTGCCTCCACCTTCTCCTCTCCCTGATCCAAGGGGAAATCTTAGTGGAAGGCAACCTTTCAGAAAGGAGTTCCATCCACCCAAAGTTCCAGTGGCAGAAGTATCTTTCAGCAGCACCAACCTAAGATAGTACAAATAGAATAAAATCATAACTAACCTTCTAACTGAAGTACAATTTTCAGTTATAATCTTTGGAAAAGGCAACTCAGCCACACACTGGGGAGACCAGTAAGTCTGGAAACTTGGTACACTTTATCTCCAACTTTTAGTAAATGGGACACCAATCATTTAACTCCTCCTTGCTCATTTTTCAACTTATTTGTAATAGGTTAGAGGCTTTTCCAGGAAAGGCCACATGTAGATGTTAAAAAGGAGCAGAACAGATAAGGAACTGTTAGCAAGCTTTTTTTTTAATGTGACTATCCTCATTACGCCGGGATACAATAAAAATCCAGAAGTTGAGGCAGCTCCAGGCATGAAGTGTTCCAGTTGCCATCAGAGCACAGGCCAGAGTTACAAGCGCTGCACAGACAGGCACGCACTGCCCTTGTGTGAAGGTGGTAGGAGCCACTGCTAATCAGCCTAGGGGTTTAAAATAATCCAGCATGATCATGCAAGATTTGTTGAATACAGTGTGAATTAGCATGCAATCAGAAGAATATTTCCTATTGTAGTAGCCTGACCCTGTCTGGGTGCCAGGCACCCACCAAAGCTGCTCTATCACTCCTGCAACTGGACAGGAGAGAAAAAATATAACAAAGATTCACAAGCTGAGATCTCTGGAGAGATCACTCACCAAATTCTATCATGGGGCAAACAGAACTGAATTGGGGATACTAATTAAATTTACTTATAACAAAATGAGAGCAGATAACGAGAATGAATTTAAAACACCTTCCCTCCACCCCTCCCTCCTTCCCAGCTACACCTCCTTCCCCCACCAACAGAGGGAGACAGGGAATGGGGGTTTTGATCAGTTTATCACATGTTGTTTCTGCTGCTGCTCAGGGACA